TCTGAGATAATAGGAGAAAGTAATTTATTTTAAAGTCAGGCGCTGTCATCTTATTGATTCATAAGCCATAATGTATGTTTATTAAGACCTACAGCTGATACTTCATTTGGTAAATTGTGGAAGTAGTGGCCTTTGGCTCTGAAGGTTGGGCTACGTTTGAGTCATTTTTGATATCACTGAACAGGGAACTATTTATCTCTTGGCACTGAATTGAGGATTTACATGGTAGTGACCTGTGAGCTGATTTAAGTGTTATGCTGGATTAGCATTAGCACGATGGATTTTATACATTTTACAGCATTAATATGTTGTTAAATTTGGATTATCAAATTTACTTTGTGTTTTTTAAGGCTGTAAAAATTCCTGTAGTCTATTATTAGTGCTTGTTTAAAACTAAATAAATATGTTTAGACTAAAAGTTTCAAGTTGAGTGTTTTAAAAACCAGGTTCTTGAATTCATTCTTAGTCATCAAACTAAACAGTACTTGATTCTCAGAAGTGCTGAAAAGCTGTGCTGAATTCCGTAAAAGCTCTGGAATTGATGCATGGGTTGATGTCCTCAAGATTCAAGTCAGGGATTAGAAAAAAGGCCCAACAGTTCAGAGAACTTTACCACAGAGAAAGAGGAAACTCCTGAAGGACGTAACGACAAAAGCAAAGGGCAACAGTAGAAGTCACCCTGACAGTTACATGTATTTCCTCACTCGATGCTGTTCAAAATTACTTCATATTCATTGCTTTAAAGGACCACATTTCATCTGTCATTCCTGCAGGACTCTTGCTGTAGATTGTGAGGATTATTTACATCTCAATTTATTTCTCAGCCCATTGGCCGTAATTAAAAATGGAATTTGGCACTCTCCGGAGCCCCTGCTGGAGACTTTCACCTTGTAGAAGAAAGGGGATTAGATGTGATGATTTATTGGGCTCATGTACAGTCCCCTGACGGTACTGTGGCACTGAGCCGACAGAAAGCTGAAATGATATCCAGTCCTCTCTGGCAACCACCTGCATCATGAGCAGAGTAAATCCTATCCCTTGACTAAAACCCTGTCTTGTTCCATCCAAATTTGCCTGACTTCCTGATGTGTGGGGGCTCTTGGTAGCACAAAGTTATGCTAGGAGAAGGCAGTGGCTGCCCGCCAAGGCAGTGTGCCTTTAGGATGTTGGAATCTGTGGCTGTATTGTCACTATGTGCCTTAAGCTGTGTCTGTGAAAAGCGCAGAAAATGATTTCTTACAGTCATCACACTCCATCTTCGAGAGGGAATTGGAAATGGTGTTCAGAATCACAGCTCTGATGTTTAATCATTGCTCTGTGATTACTTTTCAGATTTTTAGGACTTTTTGGTACTAAAGCCAAGCAGAAGTGTAGTCATAAATCTGGCAGAAGCTTTACTTGCTTGCTTTCTTCTCCCCTGCTAAGCCAGAAAACAAAAAGGAAGAAATATGTGGTCATGCCCAGTGTCTACCACAGCACTGAAATAAAAAAATGCCTATTTCTTTGGGGTGATTGTTCTAGGAGAGGAGATGGCAAGCTTGTTCTTTGTTAGGGCGAGCTTTCAGGACTGTGGTGTCTTTTGAAACATCTCTAAGTGCCTTACTGCTATCTTAAATGCATTTAAAAGTGTGCTCTTTTTGGACTTGGAGTTCTTTGTCTTTGCGGGATACTAGCGAGGGATCATACTGTAATACCCTTGATAAAAACCCAGTTTGTTTGTACCAAAACACCTTTTCCTTCAACTCTGAGTGATGTCATGCAACGTGCTTCACAGGAAAAGACAAAAAGATCCCTATGAAAGGATACAGCTGACTAGGGCTGTTTCCATTGCAGGAAGGGATACTGGTAGAAGGGTAACTTACTGGGACTGAAGCACATTGATCTTAGCAAAAGCCTTGCTGCAAAAGTTTCTTATGTTCAGAATAAAATCTGGTCAGAGAGAGAGAGAAGGGGAAAAAACCATCACCCTAGAGAAATTGCTTGTAAGAATAACAAAACTACATAGGACAGCCATGTGGGAAACCCAGCTTCAGGTCTCCAATCTAATTCGGGCACAGTGAAAACTTGCGGCAGTTTAGTGACATCCAGCCTGTACAGACTGGATAATTATTGCTATTACTCACTGAACCCTTGTTATGCAGTTGTTACTGTTGATAATGTGAACTCCTTGGATATTACACTTGTCTTAATGTTCTCCAGACATTTTTTCCATTAATGAAGCTGTGTTGTCTGTGTGCTATGAGTTGCCAGGGATGCTTTCTCATGATGTAGAAATGTCTTTAACCTTCGACACTTCCTCAGCATCACAGTGTCGTTTTGAAAAATGGTGAATACGTGTAAAAGCTGCTTGTGGTAATTATTTCCCTTGGCAAATCCACTTCATTAGGGCCATGTAACTGATACGAAAAGCAACACATACAGTTTCCTTGACTTGAAGGATTTTTCAGTCTATCTCAAACCCGATTGTCATTGCATCTTTTGACTTCCTTTTAGAAATCAGGAGTAGTTAAAAGCAATCAGTGTGCTGTGTCATCAGTATATGATTTAACTACTGGAAGCAGTACATTTGGGTAGACTGAAAGAGAACGAAATTGGGTGTATTTTCAACCTAAAATAGTACTTCTCCAGATTGTGTTTGGGCAAATATTCATTATTCTCTTGACATGCTCACATCCCAGACAGTCTGTGGTGTACCTGCGAGGCAGAACTGTCTTGTCTCTGTCTTACCGAGGACAAATCCCACAGACTGTCGCCTTCATGTTTGTAAGATTGTGAGCAGAAGGGACTGAACATGTGGCAAAATTAATAACTGAGTAGCATTCATACTTTCATCCTTAATTAAAGACAAGTGGGTATGTGAAATATATTTCCCTGGGGCTGTGGTGAGGGAATATCCACACATGTAATTAATCTAGCTGCTGGAAGTCACAATTTCACCACTAAAATGAAGCAGAGAAAGAGACACCAGCGAACAATATGGGCACACTCCAACATTCATTGAAGTCAATGGGAAACTTGTCTTTTGACTTCAAAGGGTATTGGACTGAAGCCCGCAAGATCACATTAAAACACTTAGAAGTCATTAAGTACTTATTCTTGCCATACTGCAGTAATAGAACTAGAAAAAATATAGGTGGATTTTAATTTAACCCACTCCCTACATTTTTAATTGTTTTGTGCTTACACAGTTGGTTGCATACAGTTGGATTAGGTGGCGATCTGCCTGATTTATTGTGTATGACTGTTGCTGCATGGCACGCTCTTTTACAGTCTTGTTTCTTTGTATGCATAGTCGTCTTTTATGCTGATACAATCCTCGCTTAAGTTAATACATGTGATTTTCTGAGAGCGATGCTAGTAGCTTCTGTGAGTCGTAATATTGTTGTTTAGTAATCTCAGAACGGGACAACTCCCACCTCAAGGGTAGAACTGCGGGAAGGGGCTGAAGGTGTCGGCGTCTCTTCTTGCCGAGGGGATTAGCAGTGCTCCAGAGCATGCATGGCCCTTTTTATGGGATGGGGAAGAGGTCACAGAGCTGCCATCACTACTGCCACTATATGAGCCATCGGTTGATGTCCATTACCAAGAAGGCACAAGTCGCTTCAAGCAATGCATGGCCTAAACTTCAGGTGCTCTGTGCTGCTGCTTCTGGGCACGGGGCGCTGGCAGATGTTGGTAATGGGAGGGGATTCAGGGCCTGGCTGGAGGCTTCAGGGTGCAGCAGGGTAAATGTCATCCAACCTGGTCTCTGCTATCATTCTCCCAGCTAACCAATGATTTGGGAATTTGGTTAGCCACTAATCTTTGACTTCAGAGGTCTGTGACCAGTTGACGTATTGGAGAGAGAAAATGGTTGCCTTGAAACAGAACAAACAGGGTGGTCAGAAAGCCAGTTAGTTCCCAGGTTTCCCACATCTGGAAGACGCAATGTAAATTGCATTGCATCTCAATTACTTGTGGTTGGCAGGCTGTGTTCAGAGAAGCCTGCTAACTGATGCAAGGCAAAGCATTTGAAGATTTGTTATACTTACGGTATTTATTTATTGCCTCAATTTCATCTGGGCTGAATTCACTCTAAGTTTTTAAGTAGTTAAAATTTAAGAGGACTGTTTGCCCATGAAAAGGTAGAGCATTTGCCACTTCTGGTTTTCTGGATTTTGGAATTCGACTGAACAGAGCACAATGAGTATTTTGTCCTCACACAGAAAACTGGATTTAGGTGTCACATGTTGTGACAAATGGCATGAGTTTTGTGGCTTGGGCTCCAACAACAAGAAAAGGCAATCCTCTCGTCCCATCAGATGAATAATGTGGCACAATTTAATACATCTGGTATGAACCCTAGAATATAGCAAATAAAGACACTGAAAAACTTTCTTCTTTTACATACTAAAAAGTTGTGAGTTTTGCTTTCAAAACCATGCTGGAAGATGGGTTCTCCTGCTCCTGCATGTCTGTAATCTTGTTTTTTAGCCACATGGGTATCTTTACCCATCCATTAATTTCATTGATAATTGCAAAAAAAAACCAAGGCAAGATGGAATTTTATTTTCTTTTAATGAGCAGTTCACACTGGAGATGACCACACCTCCAGTTTTCATTTAGAAACCTTAGTGATGAAGATGATTTGCTCTTTGCTCTGCATTGTGCAGGACTAATGGAAACACTTCCTAATTTATTTTATTTTTTAAGAAGATGTCTTGGTTTTATGGAAAAAACCCTTGATTTATAGGTGTGCCAAATATGCTACTGCTTCTGTGGAACAAAGAGTAGGTTCCAAATGAAGCACTATTTTTTTCTTGTTGATTTTTTTAATATCCTGACTTGTTTTGATATAATGTGCTTATTCCTATTTCACATGGAGAAGACTAAAGGAAGTAGAGAAGTCTGCTTCCTGTCTGCGGTGTTGAATAGAAAAATCTGCTTTAATTGTATGCATAATTGTATATAAAAATGTGCTTGCCTGTATGCATATGTGAATTACCTGTTTTCTTTTACAGAAAAGAGTTAAAGACGTCATATCTCCAATTGTATTTGAAGCTGCATATAGCCTTGGGGAACATGTCATAGAAAGAGGAAAAGAGAACAAGGAACTACCTGCTCTCAAGCCCGTTCTCCGCTGGAAGAAAGGACAAAAGATAGCACAAAGGAATCAGGTCAGATTTGGGCTATGTTATTTCCCTAGAAGGTCTGTGCTAGCAGAATTGGATATAAAAGGGGATTGCCAAGCTCTGGGTTGTTTGCACACTGTAGCCTTTTTGTACAATCCCTCCTGATGCTGACATCAGTGCTTTTCCATGAGGGGTAAAGACTTGTGCTGCCCACGATGCTGGGCAGTGCAGCATGAGCTCACTTTCTTGTTTCAGGGTGTTTGTGCTGGGAAGGAGGAGACTGAAGAAGGAAGAGGATGAGAAAGATCCTGCTTCTTCTGGTTCTTCCCTTTCTGTAGGAGGTTCTTTTGAAAGGCTTGGCCCTGGCTTTCTTTCCAGGTTGAGCCTTTGCTAGTGCCAGACGGGCAGGGCTGGCTCCAGGAGGGGTCACAGGAACTTGCCCCTCTGTGTGAGGGGAGAACAATAGATGGAATAAAAAAATTTGCCAGGCCCAATTGCTCTCTCTTTTTGAGGGCTACTCATGTCCAGACATGGGGTAAGGGAAATCCACTCCTGCTGTTATTGCAGGACATGTCACGCTAAAATAGGATGGTTTTGTTTCAGAGAAAGTGAAGTGTAGGTGCAGCTGTGTAATTATTAGTATCCTATTTTGCTCCACTGCAGTGTGGAAAACCCTTTTGTCTTTAATTTTGGTGAGAGCAAGAGAATTCTCTTAATTTTGAAACATTTCTCATTTAGAGAGTAGAGATTTTTTTTTTCTTTCTCCCAAATTGTTCCCTAAGGAACTGAAGAGTACATCATTATCCCACCTCTCTTATTTGTCTGTCTTGACCTCACTAGCATGTTCAGAAAATGCTGGCCAATTTTGTCAGGTTCTGACAGGAGTGATCAAGACAGTGCTTATGAAGGTATTAAACACCTTCAGGGTTTATGAAGCAGACAGTCATGTCGAGGAGAGAGACCATGTTAGTGACCTTTTGAAAGGCTCCAGTTTGAGCTCGGTCCTTGTAGGTGCAGGACAGTCTGCCAGGAAGGAGCCTGCAGGACAATTCAACCTCCCACCCTGTCGGCACTGAAGCATTCAACTGTGAAGCTCGAGGCTCCACAGGGAAATCAAACTACTTCTGTGGCTTGTAAAACTTCTTGTGTGTCGGAATTGCAGGATAATTTGGGCTAGAAGGGACCTTTGTAATCCAGTTCCTTGCTCAAAGCGGAGCCAACTTAAAAGTTAGATCAAGTTGCTCAGATTTGCAGCCAGTCAAGTTTGTTTTCCAAAGCATGCTTACAGAGTTATGAGCTGGAATTACTTGTGAATAGGAAACTTCACTCTTTTTTTTTTCTTTTTTTTTTTTTTGTCTTTTAAAAGCTGTGAAAAGTCTGTCTGGAGTCTGAGGCTTTTAGCAGTGAATTGTTAGAGCTGGATATTAACCCTGGGAAGTTCATGTCTAAGTGATGCTTGCATCATCATCTGTGATATTACTTTCTGGTCCTGCTCATCAGAATATGTTACTGTGTTGAAATTGCAGGTCCATGCATACTACTTAAAAAAAAAAAAAAGTAACTAAAAGGCTTGAAGAGATTTGCTTAGTCATATACATGTGTTTTGAACTGTATTTGCCTATAATCCTTGTTGTAGACACGTGAGTATTTATTCAAGCATGCTTTATTTTTGTAAATGTATGAATGAAAGAAGCATGTAAGAATTACTTAGCTTTATGAAAAGGGATTGTGTGGCTATTACATATCTGACTGTCTTAATGTTACAACAATATGATGGGCATTTGTGGAGAACTTTGGAACTTGAGCAGCGTGCTGAAAACCTAAGTGTTACGTGAACGAGACTGCTTGGGTGCTTTACCACTGGGTTTGAACTCAAAAGGTCACATCTTGCCCTGCAGGCATAGTCTTGAATCAATATTAAAATACCTAAATGCTGAGATTATAGAGCAGAAACAAAAATATGTTGGGAATTTTCCTGACTTGTTTTTTTGTGTAATTTGGATGAGAGGGAGCCTGTTTAACAATCCCTTTCCATTTGCTTTCCAGATGTTGTTCACTTAGCTTAGTAAGAAAAGGAGTTTGACATGGGGTGTGCCTGCAAGCATGCTTTCAGCTAAGGAAGTGGGAAGAGCTTCAGAGTCAGTGTGGCAGTTATGGTGACAAAGCCCTGACAGAGTAGCCTCGAGGCATGGTGGTGGGATCCTCAAAAACTGATTTCATGGGGAAATCCGGGCATAGCGTTCTCTTTCAGGATTCTTGTTATCATGAGTAGAAGTTGCCAAGAGGGATACTGGGAACCAAAGTTGATATAATAAAGGATTTATATTTTCAAATAAACTAATGATTATGGAGGGATCTTACATTTTGGAAGTCTAATTTAAGACAGATCTGGTGGACTCTTTTTTCAGAAGATACAGCAGGAGTGAGGGCAGGTGAATAAGCTTAATGTTGGTGCTAGTACTGGTCTTTAAATACAGCTAGTTGTGTGTGGTTTTCAAAAGCCCTAGATCCTGTTGACCCAGTAAGATTTGGCATTTTGATATCAGAAATGTTGCATCTGTTGCTTTGAGGCACCTTTAAGATACTGTAAAGAGGTTGACACTTTTCTAAAAAGCCCAGGTGACTGTTTTTTTGTGAATGAATGCAGGAGAAGCAGCTGGAAGTAGTGAACAGCTGAAGAAATGGGAGGGAGCTGAGACTGGGCAGGAAAGGGGGAGACTTCTGTCTTTCAAGATCCTACTGCAGGTCTGCTAGACCTACTTGAAAAGCCAGTCATCTTGCAGACATGTGGGCTTTATAGTTACCTAGATATGATTTTATTTAAACTAAAGTGGTGTTAAAGCTGAAGTGATTCCTTGCACTGGGATTTCAGTTTTGTTTTTCATGAACCAGATGTTCCCTGCATGCATGCCTGACTTGCCAAAAAGAGTGTGCAGACCTATGGCTCACAAGCAAGGAGATAGGAAAGCCATCATGAGGCCTCTTGACGTGAAAATTGAAGATTATATTGCACATATAAAGTCCTTCATGGTGCTTGGCTCTAATGCATTAAGGAGTCAGCTTGGACTCACCACCAGAAGTGACATCTCCTTATTAACATAACCACAGAAAAGGATTTTGTTGGATATTCATCCTTTAAATTAATATTACACTGTATGTGAGAGAACAGTCTGGTCTTATACTTTATCACTTAGACCAAAGCAGAGCTATAGTATTAAAGGAGTGCATGGATGTGGGATATCAGTCAAAATGTTTTTATATATTGGTCACCTTTATTTTAAAATAATGCAGTTTTTACTGTAAGGCAGTGCAAAATGCTTGTATTCAGAAATAAACCAAAACAAAACCAAACCTTGATTAAGTGAAGGGGCTTGCTTCTATTCCTTAATGTGCTTGAAACAATCAAATTATGATAAATAATTTGAATATCTGAATGATTTGAAGAAAAGAATCTTAACTGAAATTTCCTAATGAAAATCATGCGATTTTGGGACTTCATATATTGGCCATTTTTTTTGGTAAGCAAAGAGTCTCTGATACTTCAAAATGAAGTAATAATGTAATTAAACTGGCCTGAGGGACTCTTTAATTCAGGATACAGTAACAGTTGATTTCTCATAGACTTAATTATTTTCTTGGTTCTTGTTTATGCTTACCAGAAACGATGGTTCCAGTAGCTTGGTGTAATTTTTTTGTGGTAGCAAAAGCAAATACTTAAGGATTATGTGTACATGTCTATTGATAGATTCCTTGGCAACTTATACAATTGTTGGGTGGAGCCTGGTTGTGTGGAGAAGATTACAGCTTTCCAAGTTGTAAGTGGCTAGCCAGCTCAGTTTTGCTCAAACAGAAAATCTGTGGTGGGTCAAGACTGGGTGGGGGAAAAAAATGATTCTAGTTTTCAGTGTGTGTTATGAACTTTAAAACTTCCCACCCTGAGGATGACTTTCCATTAGCTTCTTTGTTGCCTCCTAAATCCAGTTGCTACCTCCATCCACTGGAAAAAACTAATAAGTCTTCTTGCTATAGGGAAATGAATGTGTATTTAGAACTTGGTTTGGCTTAGTTCATTGTAAGTGGTTTGTACTATAACATTTATTTTTGTAGACCCACTGTATAAATACATGTCAACCAAGAAGGAGAAAGATCTCCAGCCAAGTACAGGGGGGATTTGTTCCTAGTAGTATCCAGTAATGTATTTTAGAGTTCAAAATGTGGTATGCTAGAATTCTACCTGTTCTAAATACTGTAATAAAATCACCTGTTGTTATGTGGATGGCGACACTATTTTGTTATAGGAAAATATTATCAGTAGATTTAATTGCGTCAGTGTCTTCAGGATGTCATGAATGGTCTGCCATAAAACTCTTTGTAAATTATAAGAAGAAACAGAAAATGTTTTAGGGCATTCTGTTCCCAACTCTGCCATTGCCTTGCAGAGAGAATTTGGGTACAGTGCTACACCTCGAGGTGACTGAGGCTGCACGTCTTGGCATAAACTTCACCTTTTTAAAGCAGAGGACTATTTTTTGGAAAGACTTTGAAAATCTGGCTAACTACTGGCACGTAAATTAGCTTAGTTGACAGGTATGAGAAAGTACAGGAGGATATTTATAGAGCTGAATTATGAACACCTTTAGTACTTTGTGGTTTCTGGCACAAATAATTCCATCCTCTATTTTAAACACACACACACACACACACACACCCCGCCCCCCGCCGCTATCTCATACTGAGAACAAAGCAATGACAATCTGGACGGGCTGAAATGCAGTGTCCATACACACAGCGTGGTCCAGGTTTGTCAGTGGTGCCTTCTCCAGAGCAGACATCTCTGTCTGCCAGCAAACTGAGCTGTGCCTAGAACATTTATAGGCACTGGAAAAGCATCTTTATCCTGGTAAGCTGCTGAAGTGGCTCTTGGCATGATTTTTGCCTGTGCCAACTACTGCAAACCATTCCCAGGCATGAGTCAGGAGTTAGGATGCTCCTATCTTGGAGGACAGGACAGTTTAATTTACTGGTACAGCTGAAGCCTCAGTACC